AACTGAGATAATTCAGAGAAGATCTCACACCACGACACATAATTCTTCCTCGCTACCAGCAGGACCTCAGGAGGTTGTCTCAGTGCAGACGGAGGTACAGGTGGGCGACAAATGCAACAGCTTCAAGGGGATTAAACGAAACTTTACGAGCACATCGCTGCACGCAGGATGAACCCTTGTCTGTTGTGACGACTGATACTGACCTAATACACTCCAATCAAACCGCAGGCCTGACATCGGACCAGTCGAGGCAGCGGCGCTGATAAAAAAAACGACACAGTATGGAATCACAGACACAAAAGGAGTTGGTTTCACAGCTGCCAGGCTCCAAAGAACACCTGGACTCTCCTTCACAGTCTACTAACAGCACATATACCATGTGTTTCCCGCCCAGACATACCTCACAGCTAAGAGCAGCATTGATGAAATGCAAATTCTTTTTTGCTCCGCTGGGGAAACAGTGTTGTCTTGTGCAAAAGGAAACTTACCGGACTGAGGGTCAGCAAACCGTCTACAGCAGCTTTAAACGTAATTTTAGTTTTTTCAACGATACTATTACATGTTAATTTACTGGTGACTTCAGCTTTTTTCCCCAGTAACTGAAACATAAGCTGCCTGAACATGATGATTTTACCTGACAGCACCAAGGCGCAGAGCTGTGAGGTGTCTTACGTAATGATTAGCCCAAACGAGAGGACCAAGAAGTGAGAAGCTGCACTGTTTCTAAACCCGTAGTTTTTGTACACTATGAATAAACGATAAACTTCACGTAGTCACCACAATCTGTACGTCTGTGGGTCGAGGATGTTTGGTCGACAGACTGATCTGGGGCAAGAGAAAAACTCCCTCGGGGCTCCCCCGGCTCTCTCTCATGTTTTTTCCTGACTGTCTCCACTTCCCCTGTCAAATAAAAGGCATGAAAGTGGCCAAAAAAAATAAATTTTAAAAAGACAAGAGGTCTGCAGACACGGTCGTGACGCTCTAATGCTGCAACGTTCAATAAAACAAACCTGAACCGCTCTGTCAGACTTGGCTCGGTTTCCATTACTTTAAGCTGCACTTATATCAGTTAGCCGCGCTGCATGCTAACTACTGATACAAGCTAACCAGCTAGCATTAGCATACTAACATGCTTATATTTTGTCCTGCCGTGTTTATAAAGAAAAATAAAAATAAAATCAGAGAAACATATTTTGTCAGTGCAAAGATGCAAAACAACAGAAAAGAAAACACAATACTTTCTGCTTTTAAGGATTTTATGTCTTAAAGTGTTGGAAAAAAAGTAAATGGCGATCAGCTGTTTGCGTTACTTGAATCTGCCTTGTTATACTTGTCAAGATATTTTACTGGGGACCTGAGAGTTAGAGTCTTCAATCAGTCTGATAAACTGGCTAAACCTTAGACTTACCTCTACACTATGTCTATTAAATTATCTTGATTTTGTCAGCTTTAATCTTTTTTAGTCACTTAACTTTATTTTATTCAGATTTATCGTATGAATTTATCTACATATATTTTAAATTTCTAACTCCCCCGGGAAAAAAAACTGTGTTAGACTTTTTATCTAATAGCACTCTGTTGCTGGATCCCAGCACCTGTGAGGAAAACGTATCATGTCACCTGTTGATGAGGGTCCCAAACAGCAGCCTGATGGTCCTCTGAACGTTCTCAGTGCACAGCCAGCTCCACTGCTCCTTCATCAGCAGGCACAGGATGTTCAGAGCCACCTCGGCCAGCGCCGTCTCAGACGCTGCGACCACGACACGCAAGACACACACACACACACACACACACACAAGAAAAACATGATTCACTATGACACAACACAAATTAACTACTTAATTAATCGCATGTAAATATGGATGGTTATATAGACATGACATTCAAAATAAAGTAAGTAAATAAGATGGTTTGTCTTGTTGCAGAGAGACATGTATGAAGGAAAACAAACATTATTATCCGTTTTTTAAAATAACACATTTCTTCTGTGTGAATCTGAGGAACATTCACGTCCAGTCGTCACATCAGCTCTTCATACGTTCACTAACACTGCCCTCATGTGGTTAGAACCAGGTGTTGCTGGTTCTGCACGTGCAGTGTTTCTAAAGATCAGTCTTTTCGAGACAGAGACAGAGCAGATTTAATACGTATTAAAAAAGGGAAATAATCTTGATGGCATCAGAAATCAGCAGACCAAATAAAACCCCCGGAGAATCAAACACACTCTTCTCTGTCAGTTAAATGCTTCACACACATTTGATGTTTTCTTCTTTCTTCCCCGTGAAAACTGCTACTGGAACTCATGATAACTGACCGAAAATATGACGACTGACAAATAAGAGACAAAAATTTCCAGGGGTTTCCAGTCGTTTATTTATATTGTCTATGCTGCACTGCACTACTTCTTCTTAGATCATATGACTGAACCATGTCCAAGTTTCAGTTTTCCATTTTGAATTTTGGTGTCTGAATTTTACCGGCCAAGTCAATATGAGCAACTATAAGATCCTACAATTAAAAGTTTGAGCGATTTAGAGAAATTTTATGGAGATTTTAGTTTATTTTCGAAACTGAACGATTTAAAATTCGAACCACATAAATTTGGAAACTCATTGAAAAACATTGAAATGCATAAATTCAGAGTCAGTAGAGATTAGTTGCTTCAGAGTCAGTGTACTGTAAACACACTGTAAAAAAACAAGGCAGTCTGACGTCCACAGATCTGCTGTAAAAGCAGCACATTAGTCCCCAGTGAACTGTAACTTTGGATGTGGAACATTTCAGGGACTTTTTAAAACTAGACACTTCAGTCACCCAGACTGTCTGGAACAAAACAAAAAAAAAAAATAAAATAAAAACAGCCCTTCAAAAAGACAATGACCAGATGCCTAAACAAGGACGAAATGCAATTTGGATCCAATTAAACCGGGAACGTCTTATTCCAATGTCAGAGCAAATGCAAAGATCGTTTCCATACGATGTTAATGAGGTCATCCGTTTTTCCTACGGTGATTCCCTGTGATGGAGCGAGACGGAGCGATGACGCAACACGCTGGACGAGAGCGTCCGAGACAGTTACAGACAGCTGACAGTTAAAGGTCAGAGTTAGTGCGAGGCGCGGGTCCCTTCATCAGGCTCACGACCAGTTTAAAAAGTTTGTTTAAAGGAATAAAAATATTCAGAGTAAGACGAGGAAAAACATCTTGAAAGAAACCGAGCTCTGAGAATTTAAAATAAAAATGCTTTCCGGTGATTCACTTCACAAAGAGATAAACGGTTCTGTTTTTGGTCGTTTCAGACCGACGCGTTTCTCATTTTCCCGCCCAGCGCCTACGTTGTTTAAGAAGCAAACACCCATCTCAGCACCTATCTGAAAATAATACATAGGTATAGATATTAATAATAAAATAATAATAATAAACTGTTCTGCACAAGCAGAGTGTGCCACAGTGTTTCCTAATCATCACACACATTAAAATTGTCCACCACAGTTTCATAATAAACCGAAAATGTATTTACACGTCTCATAATAAACATTAAAGACGTCTAACGTTGTGATTTATGCCGTGGCTTCTCTGTAGAGCATTGATTCACTGATTCACAATATGTGATCAACTCACCCCACGAACAGAAACAGAAACGCTGCGTCATTATCATAACAATCCGCCGAGGAGCCCTAGTTTGATCATATCTCATCGCTGTCAGATCTTTTTGCATAATGTTGATTTGTTTTTATGATGCTCACTTTGGATGATTCTTTATCTGGTTTTACTTTTTTCTTGTAAAGCACTTTGTAACTTTGTTAAGAAAAGTGCAATAAAACTAAAGTATTACTATTATTATTATTATCATCATTGGATGTTGCGCCCAAAACACTCCCATGATTAATTAAGAATCTAAGCACAACCCTTTTGAAGCATGTGTCTGCAGCACAAGTGACACGGACACACCACGCGCTTTAGTCCACGCCGCAGCTGTTATAAGTTAACCTCTTGTGGTCAGTTGCCACAGACTCCAAACACTCTCGCTGCCAAAACCGCAAAACTTCACACACTTACATCACACAAGTGACAAGGGTTGCAAGTTCAATCCTCCCTGTGCTCACTCACGCTGTCATACTGTGCCACCGCCTCTCTCCTTCCGAGCAGTCAGGTTATGCAACACTTAACCGTCAACATAACTGTACAGAGTTTCCATCCCTGAACAGACGTGGCCGTTCACCAGAGCCGAGCACATGCACGACGACCCGGTTTGAAACCTGTGTCACTGGAACAGGTGTCAGAGGAGGAGGCTTTTTGGTTTGGAAAGAAAAATAAAATAAACAACGGGAGCTGTGAGCTCCTGCGCTTTTGTCTCTTCAGCTTTTGTCGGGCGCTGCTGATGAATGTGATACGTGACTGGAATATGGAACAAGCTGGTTTCGATCACAGGGTCCTGCTATAATTATGATGAAACAGTGAATGGAAAGTGGCGGAGTGAAGCAGACAGGAAAGCAGGAAGACACAACAGGCAGGCGGTGAGTCAGTGGTCAGACACAAAGGAAAGCAGGGGGGGGGGGGGGGGGGGGGACTCAGACGAGGGGTTATGATGATTGCACAGATAATGACAAGAGGCCGAGAAGTTAAAAGGATAAGACAGGTGATTTTCTAAATTTGATTGCAATATGAAAGATACAGAAAACTGCTGGTTTTATCCTGTAAGTTGAAAATGTGGGACTGTTCACAAATCCCAGATCTGGTCCTCACACAGTGGATGCAGGAAACTACAGCAGTGCGATAGAGGTTTCACGTCTTTATAGTTGTGCTTTGAATCAGTTTTTCATATTATCATATTATCTATCTTTTTTAAGTACTTGATATTGTCTTTTTGCAGCTTTTCTTTCTTTGTATCTTCTCTCAACTTATCTTATCTTATCTTGGTCCTCTGAACTTTAAAATGACCTACACCAGCTTTGAGATATTTACCAACTGTGAATATATCACATGACGCCCGTCTCTTACCACGTTCCTGACTCTGCTTCCCTCTCATCTCGTCATCCAGACCGCCTCTGACCGCCGGACTGTCCTCCCTCTCCGGCTCCTCTCCGAGCGCCAGTTTCTCTTGTTCCGTGATAAAGGCTTGCAATTCTCTCAGGGACTTTCTGTTAAACACCTTTGAGAGCACAGAGGAAGAGGAAGTTATATATATATAAAAAAAAAATGTTTATGTTTCATCACTGTGGATTAGAAAAGTTACTTACTGTGCTAGTTTGCTCACAGCTGAACAAAACCTGCGGTCTCATGTCGGAGCCATTCATGGAGGGAATGTTTTTACTGGAGAACTTCAGACGAGACCTGGGAGTGTACAAACAAACAAAAAATTAAATAAAGATAAAAAATATTTCCCACAATCTTAGTTGCTCTCTGCCAGATTGGATGTTGCCATGATCCCTCACAGGCTTCCCACTCTCAGAGAAACTGACAATATATATTTTTTAAATTAAAAAAGACGATGACAAAAGTGGCAGCATTGTTACTGGAGGTTAAACTAGGTTATTCCCAGCAGCTGCCATCAGTAAGAACTACTCTTCATAAGAAGGAACTGTGAGCTCATCTGTTTGTGTGGTGAAATAATTCCCCGAGTGTTGAGAAGCAGAATAATTCTGGTGATTTTTAGATGTTAAGACAATGTTTTTCACATCACTGTCATCATTTTATCCACGTTCTGCCTCCCTAAGGGGTTTACCAGAGCTGATTCAAAAAGTTTTACATGATTACATTTACAGCACTTCATGTGTCAGCTCCTTATACATTTATATATATATGCTGCTCCCCTCTTGCACTTTGTACTCTTCTTTTGAAAGCTGCTGTATAAATAGAGTTTATTATTATCATTATTTATCGAATAGGGTAAGACATCTGTAAAAAGCTGGCGAATGTGTTTGTGTTTCTGTCACGTGTTGGTCGGTCTGGGTGTGTGGAGTCTTACTTGCTCTTCTTGTCACCACTTATTTTCCCTGCGTCCACCTCTGCCTCATTGTCCTCCGTGGGGCTTTGAGGTTCTGAGCGAGGAAACGCCGTCTTCAGCGTGTCCACGATGGCGTTCATCAAATTCTACGCACGCAAACACAAGACAGCAAAAATGGTTACTATGCACACAGAACGTGCTAATCATGAAGTCCAGTGTAACAATGAAATATCTGGGATCAAACCTTGTCTATTCGCGACACGATGAAAGGTTTCTTGACGAAGGCGATCCTGGCGTCCGTGTTGAGAGCCAGAAACTCCTGCATCTCTTCACTGTTGGCTATTTCAGGGATGGCACAGAGTTGCTGAGAAAGAGGACAGAAAACACCGTGTTAAATGTTTGTGCAAATATTAAAATTAATAATAAATAAATAAAGAAGAATCCGTCAACCTTTAGAAAAGTTTCCAGAAGTCCCTTCCGGGCCTCGATCTTGTCACTGTCCATGTTTCCAAACGGCATGTCTGGAAAAACTTTCTTTGGACCTTTCACACCTGAGACACAGAAAGATGTTGGCTCGGTGTTTATTTTAAGATATGTCCAAGTATCAAACCACAAACCCAGATAATGCATGATCCCTCCAAACCAGACTAAAGAGGAGGATTTCAAATGTTCCTTTCATTCAGACAATACTCTGCTCTATGCTCACGTCTCCCACCTTTGATGAGTTTCCTCAGTTCTGTTTTTTCTTCCAGTCGTGTTTGCAGGTTGAGGAACTCGCTGTATCGCCTGTTGACCATGTGATACGCCACCGGCTGAATGCGAGATGGATTCTCGCAGCTCGTCTGTAACACCTCGGCGTCCTCGGACCCCGGCTGGATGCCTCCTGGGTTCTCACAACCCATCGCCGTCTCATACTGAAAACCAACACAAACATCTGTAAAGTTCCACCATTGTTTTGTTGATTCACGTCATAATTTATATCATGAGTTTGTAAAATGTCTGACGCTGATTTGTGTATTTCAGTTACGTCCAGTTAATATACAGTACGCTTGTTCAATACACTTAAGTTTTACTCTTTTCATGTCAAACAACGACGGTTTTATTCTCAAAACATTGACAATAATGATTAAAAATGATTAAACAGTTTTGTGTTTTGTCAAAATTACAAAAAAATTCTGATATGAATAATTTTTTCCTACTAAATTTCTAATTAATGTTATGATTACATAATAAAAGGTTTTATATCAAAGCTCAAAATCAAAAACTGCAGTAAAGTTTGATCTAACAACACAAGGGTTAAAGATCAACAGTGAATACAAACTTCTTAGTCTTAGTCATTCATTTTTATTTAATCTAGAAAGTCATCTATTATAACCGTAGCTAGGTTATTTGGCGTTTTGCTCCTATAGAGGCGCAGAGCCTCCTCTCTTCTGATTGGCTCACCGACCTGTTGTTACTACAGCTCCAGAGAGAAGCCAGGAGATGGAGATTGAGATGGTTTTTGGTTCTTTAAAACCAAAAATATATCTTCTTATGGATCAACACTTCAAATAAAACACAGAAAAAATATGGACATTTAACAGTTCTTCATTTGTGTTGTTTATCTTTAATCCCTACATCGGTCTCTAGTGCAACTACAACAAACCGTGGAACAACCGGACTGCACAGATAATAACGCTGAAGTCCGGGATCACACACGAACAGAATGGAGGAAGGAGACACAGATGATGTCATTTCCTTACTTTGATGGTGTACAGAGTGTAAGGGTGCGAGCCGGTGCCTCTGTGTTCCTTTGCTGTGATGGTGCCGGTGATGCGGAGGTTCTGGATGATGACTGGTCCGTCGGGGCTGCTGAGGGGCTCAAAACTGAATGACGGCATGGGGGACGAGCCCTGCAGTGGACTGACTACAGTCGACTCGTTGGTGTTCCCCAACCCAGTCTGATCCACACCCAGAAGGAGCTCTCTGGCCGGGTTTACAGAAGGGGAAGTGCCCTCCCTCTCCAGGTCCTGCAGGTTGCTGATACTGGGAGTCCCCTCTGCCGTCCTAACTGATGAGGGGCCGTAGCCGTTAGGATGGTCAGAATTCCCCCGGACATCCACTGGACAGGGACAAACATCCTCCAAGTCCACGCCGTTGCTGTTTTCCACAGACGTGGCACATTCTTTCCGTCTGTCGTACAGACCCTCCTCTTGGCCGATCATGACCAGGGAGTCAGTGGAGCTCTGTTTATAGTCAGCCAAAGGAGAATCCAGGTCAGAGTCGTTTTCCTGGTAAAAAGGGTTTGACTTGCCTCCTCTCATGTAATGCTCTAGAAAGGGTCGAGTAGTTTCTTCTTCTTCGGGGTTGTTCTGCGGACAGTCCACCTCCTCAGAGTCAAACACGTCATAGGCAGCCGGCTCAGCCGTCTCTGTCTCGTGGACACTTTCGGTCTCTGCTCCCGGTGGAGGAGCTTCGGTGCACCTTTGAGGAACCAGCGCCGTCTCTTGAAGTTGAGCGAGCTCTGAATCAGCAGCAGGTGGTGGTGGTAGCGGTGGTGGGGATGAAGCCAGTGGCTCTGTTGTGATTGGTTCCTGGGGTTTGCTGGACCTGCCGAATATTTCAATCATAAGGATGTTTAACCAGTCGGGGTCGGACAGTTTTGAGATGAGAGGGAGGATGACGTTGCAGGTGATGAGCTCTCCGACAACGAACCGTCCCGTGCGGCTCTCCAAGTGCGGCGATGGCACCAAAACATGCAGCAACAAATCCACAACTGCTCTGGTGTAGTTGAGCTCCATTGAGTCGCTGGTCACGGCAAGGTGAGGTGTGGTGACACTGGAATACGCCTCCCACAACCGCCGCTCGCTCTCACTGCCCCACCTTGTCCTCACAGGCGCCTGCTGCTCGGTGACCAGCTCCTTGGCTCTGATGTAGTCCTGCAGGTGGCAGCCAAACAGATCCAGGATCCTCTGCGTCAGCTCCTGCAAGAGATCAGAAAAGTTACACACGTCCTATTTTCAAAATTTAAATGTGAATTTAAACCTCCTGAGTAAATCTGGCAACAGTTTCTGTCAACACTGTTTGTACCAATAAGGATGCAATTTTTTTTAATATGTATGTATAAACTATGAAGAATCAAAACTACCCCTGCTCCTTGCACTTAGACTAACAATAGTAAGTAACATACAGACTATTGAAATACCAGGATTCTCCAATCAGTCTAGTTGCGTTGGCGGTGTTTCTGTTAGACGCTCACCCAAATCAAGAGACCTGTTTTTCTTGTTTACTTGAATTTTAAGAGTTCAGGTCACAGAAGAACGCTCGCCATAACCTGGTTTCAACAAGGTCACACAAACACACTGCAGCGCTGCAACAGCTCCCCACGCTGAGGTCTTTAAATCATAGTACCTTCCTGTCGACGTGTCTTGCACGCAGTTTCAGCTCCATGGCCATAGAGATCATGGCCTCTTGAACCTCGGTTTCAAAACCACTCTCAGAGGACACCGTGGAGTACCAGGAGGTGACAAAGTCCCTGATGATTTTCCGCACTGTGTTGCGGATCTCCTGGTCCAAGTGATGCTCATCCTCCACTGAGGATGGAACCTGAAATTCAGCAATGGCAAAATGAGGGTGAATGAAGTGATACTGGTACCAGGTAAGATTATCTTAGTCCAGTAAACCTGTCGGAAAAATCCCTATTTCTTATTCATTCTTATTTCTTACTTATTTTATTCTTCCCTTCTTCACCTACCTCACTTCCTTTCCTTTCCTAATCACTGATTGGCTCTTGTTTTCACCATTACCACACCTCATTTACCTGATTAAGTTCACCTTGGCACTACAAGGTTATTTAAGGATTTCACTTTTTCACCTTTTTGCATGCAGCGGCAGTTCTTACTTTTTAGTTCTTATATTTGTCCATGTTAGTCTCTGAAAACTTTTCTTTAAGGAGGTATATTTGAGATTTATTTATTTATTATTTATTTATATATTTTGTCTTAGTTTAATCTTGAATCTTTAATTGTTTCATTTCAGAAGCAGCAGCTCATGCGTGTTTTCCCCCATCATGTTTAAAATACAATTATTCAAGAATAAATCTTTCATCATAGGATTGATGTTTCATGGCCTTTTTCCTCTCCATGCATCCTGAACCAAGGCCCATGATGATGGTTCACTTTTTCTGAACCTCCTCACAAAACCTAATGAAACCTTTATGATTATATCAACAAGTGAAACTAACACCATAACTGTACACCAGAGTGAACCCTACATTTACCTGCTCCAGGGTGATAAACCTCTCCAGGTGAACCACATTGTTGGACTCCAGGACGGCCTGCGAGCCGAGCCAGCCACCCAGCACCACCAGCAGGCTGGTGAACACGCACAGCAGCCAGATGTTGACCAGCAGGTGGAACAGCACCAGCCATGCTAACACCACACCAAAGCCCAACAAGCTCCTCTGTCCCAGCACCTCAGTCATGGCACTGTAGGGGTTAACGTCTGGACTGACACCCTCAGGAACAGATGTGGAGATCACATGTGCCAGAGCAACATCACAACTTGAAAAACAAAACAAATGGAGAATTCATTAATAAAGTAAGGTCCTGACCTTACCCTGGAAAGATAATGTAAATTATGATTTGAACAGATGATTTGAATAGCCACAAATAACCAACCATTACTCATGCATTATATGTGCCTGTATAGTTTAACTTTTTTATTATTATTTATTCGGGAATATGAGACAGAAATGCAACAATCACTAAATATAAAATATATTTAAATCAGATTTGTATACACAACTGACGTTATGGTGTTATTACTGTTTAATTTGACCAAACAACAAATCAACAGATGTTAATCCTGTAAACAGCTGTATGATCATCATTAACCAGGGAGCAGGAAGATTACAGAAGGATTCAAGGGATGTGTAGATCATTTTAATTGATTAACAGTCGTGCATGATCAAATCTGCGAACATATTCATGCTAGCTGCTAACGTTGCGTGACATGTTACGCCAACAAACATGTTTTTTATTTATAGCTTACTGATTCCGTTACACTCAACATGTGAGCGAGTGGCATACAGGTTATTCGACGTGGAGCAACATAACATCTACGTGATGATTATGTTGACGATATAAGACTCCCTCCGTCTCCATCCTCCACGGTTTATTAGCAGTGGGAGAGAGACTAGATATAAAGAGCAAAAAGGGGGATACAAGCCGAGATATTAGAGACAAATGTGTTTCTTAGTGTATTAAATATATTCCGAAATGAAGACAATATTGCGTTGATTTGTCAGAGCTCTGCGATGGTGTCCTTCGTGTTGCAATCATTTGCCAAAACTCATACCGACCTTAAATTGCATTTTTTTTGGCTAAAGGTTCGTAGCATTAAGCTAGCACCCAAAGCTTTACGTAGCACTAGCTAGCTTTAACTTTACTCTAAACGCTGTGCAGTCTAGCATATAGAGTGCTGTCCTGAGTAGATAAATGCCTCCAAACAATTTAAATAAAAGAAAAAAATAATTAACCTGTACGAGCTGTCATGGCACTCAATGGGAGGTCTCGTGAGTCTCTTGATGACCGCTTTCACCTAGTTTGTTTACTTCCTGTATCGTGACGTAGGCTCAAAAGAGAACCCTTCCTCGTGGCTCCTACGCGCCGCGAACGAGGTTGTCAGAAAAAGAAAAAAGTAGTACCTGAAATCATCACCTCACATCACTTTGAATATATGAAGTTAAAACACGGATTGGTTTGTTGGCATTCAACGACTACAGCTCCCATGAGGCTTTGGCAGCAGCTAAGATTCATGGGATATGTATGTTTCAGAGCGTAATGCTGATGGTCACCTGATTTGTTTCTCCAGAAATGTAATTTACCAATTATCAGTTATACAAAAACACTACGCAATTTAATTCTTTGCTAAGGGGGGGTTAGCGAAAACAATGTTTTATCCCCCCCCCCCGTATATGTAAAAACATATACATGTAAATATATGTTAAAAAATACATAAAACCAATTATAAGTTGGAACAATTTCATATATTTCAGTTTTTTCTTGTTAATACATTTGCAAACAAATTTTCTCTATATAGATAGATAGGTAGATACTTTATTTATCCCCAGGAAAAATTAATGTATATATGTATGTACATATACATATATTCATTTATTTATTTTGAGGTATTGAGTAGATTGATGAGGAAATTTTGAATTTTGAATTGAAATGATTTTGGCATAAGACTGCAACCTAACAGATGTGAAAAAACTGAGGGGGTCTGACTGTCCTGTATACGCTCACTTTACAGATTGTTGGGCAACTTGTCTACAATGCCAAAGCTTTTTTGCACTTTTTTTGTCTCCTTTTTTTTCACTCTCTCCTTTCCCAGCTCACCACCCCTAAACTTTGTTCCACGCCTACATTCAGGAGACCCGTTGGACTGACTGCAGCTAAAACCCCTGTCTGACTTCCCAGCTGTAGCTTACACATTATACATTAACATGGCTGATTTAACTCAGCTCATTAGTTCAGTGACCCCAGTGTTTTCTCATACACTGACAAAAACCTTAAATAAAACCTGCACCTTGACCTCCAACAACGCCGTGTTAAGTCATATACCATCTCTATATTACTATATATGTAACCTGTCATGCAGAATCTCACCTGAGCTACAGAAGGCATGTCAGGTAAATGTGTTTGCTGAATCAACAACCAGACAGTTCCAGACAGGAGAGCAGTGGGGACACAGGCACTTGATGCTCCTTCAGGTTTTTTGACAGGTATGTCTTTATTTGATCTTTTTCTTTTCCTGTTTGTTTTTTATCAGTTTCTTTTTCCTTCTATCGTCGTCATCACTTCCAGTTTCCAAAGAAGTAATTTCCCAGCATTTAGCTTTGGTTAAGATCAACCACAGCTGCTGATGGTGTCGGGAAAATGAAACTTGGGTTTTTTTGTTTTTTTTTGTCCTCCTACTTTTGGTTTCAATTACTTCCTATAAAATCTGTCTCTGTGCTATTATCTGTTGGACACAGAAGGAAATGGGTGAGTAGGACTCTTATGTATTTTAGCAATACAGATACTATAAAAAATTTAAAAACTAATATTTGGAATATACTGTGTTTTTGTGAAGTATGTAATGCAGCTTTAGGTCTGAATTAGTCTCTTTTTTTTGATACCACTGAATGAGCACTTTCAGGTCAGATATTGAAATGAATGAAGATGGAGGAAATGAGGTATGCAGATGACTAGTATAACCTCACTAATCTGATTTGTTCAGTGTGGTTGACTCTCGAGCCGGTGTGGGAAAATATTTCCAGCAGACGTGAGGAGCCACACAGTCCCTCATTAAAATTACGTTGTGTGCAATTTCACACATACCACGCTTCCAGGTTTTCCAGGTTGCTTTCGTAGTGGGGGAGAGAGACACGGCGTTAAAAGTTTAGCTTTATCAAGGAACTTGGTCATTTCTCCTCAGTCATGCATAGGCTTATGATGACTTATGAGACATTACCTCTGTTAAAGGTGAGTGGAATGCAGCCTGAGAGATATTCATTCGGATATTTCATTTCTCATCTTATGCATGTGCATTGATTCACTGCTTGTTTTTACCAAACTTAATGTATTTATTCTGTTTGGTTTTTTTTTTTTAGTAAAAGACAACTTATTTAGTTCAGTGGAGTATTAAACTCGTATTTGTTCATGATAAGACCATCCTGAGCCTCTCTTACTAAACTCATATCAAACTTGTTTGGTAGGTTTCCTTTTCCTCCCATAGTGTCAGTATCAGCAGCAGAAGGAAGAAGTCCAGACCCTGGAGTTTCATCCTCAAGACGATCCCTCACATGGCGCTCTGTAAATTCTGTGAGTGTTAAATTGCTAAGACATATTATTTTCATTTAATAGTAAAAAAGACTGATGCAGCTGTTGTGATTGTATTATGAAATTTATCTTTCAAGTGCAAGTGAATAACATCTGCTTTGTGTCAGGGAGAACTAATTGTGAAATATAAGTGAATTATAGTAAAAAATACAGCATAAAGTGTTTATGTTATTGGCAGAGGTGGACAAAGGTAAAGTACCAGAATACTTGCTTTAAAAAAAACTTTAGTATTCAAAAGTACATTTCTTAATGTCAACCCATTGTTGTATTGTTCCACATTTACAGAAGCTAATGACTCTGAAACAACCCACGTCATCTTATCTGATGTTAACATCGTTAGGACACTGACAGGTTCAAACTCAGCCTCTCAAACAAGCAGAAACAACAACATCTTTCCCCTGTGATGAACTCATTGTCTGGGGTGTCACATTTTTAGAAAAGAAAAAGAATTCCTCTGACTAAAAGCTTAGACTGTGATGTCCTTTGTTTAAGTTTCTAAGCTAAGCAGCAAAGAAAGGAAACTAGAAGTTGGTGGTTGCTTAACGATCGCTCAGGGAGTTTGAGCTGTTAAAATTAGAAAATATCTGACTCATAACACTATGACTTCATCCCATTCAACTGAGATGTTCTGCCTCTGTCAGTTCCTCTGGTTCTGGTGGGGGTTGTGGTGTTTGCTGTGAGTGGGATCATTGGAGACCCTCTGTACGAGTGCCTCCAAGACACAGACTACGGCGAGCTTCTCGACATTGTGGATAAAGGCCTTCCTACCGCCAAGACACCTCGTCACGTGGCGATCATCGGTGGGGGCATCGCCGGACTGACCGCCGCAAAGTTTTTGGAAGATGCTGGCCATAAGGTAAATTAATTTACAGCCAGGAGATAATGACCTGTTCTGTGAGTCGGCCTCGGGCCTATCAGACGACAGAGGGACAGGTGACATCTCTGATACTGCAGGTGGTGTGTGTAAGGTTTTGAAATGTTGTTGCGCTCAACTATCTGCTGTGTATGATGATATTGATTATCAGAACTTGTACTACAGGACAGCTGCTCTGATTTCAGTGAGCAGAGTGTATTTAACATGATGATTATGTTTGTGACTCCGTGGACAACAAGGTGACCATAATAGAGGCGAGCAACCGTATTGGAGGACGTGTGGAGACCTTCAGGAACAGAAGAGAGGGCTGGTACGCAGAAGTCGGCGCCATGAGGATCCCCAGCTTTCATAAGTGAGTCTTTAGGCTGGGCCATAATGTGACAGTAACTGGTTCTTTGTTTCATCAGTGTTTGGAGGACGTAAAGCTGATTGATGCCACTGAGTTTGAATTCAGTTTAATGAAATACCACATTTAAAAGTCCCATATTGTATAAAGGTCTCTGCCCATGTGTGGTGTGATTATAGATCAGGTCTAGCTTCTATATTAATACTGTGAAAGTATCAAAGCCTCAGTCCACAGAGAAATGCACACAGCCTGTATTCAGAAACTGAGCCTTAAAACCAGCCGTCAGGACTTCTGGAACTTTGTGATGTCACAACAAAGCAGTCACCACTTTCAGCCATGCTACTTCCAGTTATCATAATCAATGTTTGTTTTTTTATCAGTAATAGACAGATGTCTAACATAAAGTCACAAACCCACAGCCACTGAGAATTTTAGCACCTTATTGTTTTCATTTGTGGCCACCACCTGCGGTTTTTGTTTCAGTCTCTCATCAGCATTGTTTACAGCCAGGTAAACCCCCTCTGCACTTCCTGCCCAGCACCAGACAGCAGACAGAAAAAATTTGCATATTGTAGCATGTTGGGGATAAGTGGATGGGATTTTCCACCATGCTCTGAGTTCATGTGTGTATATGGACATAAAATTAGTAGATCGTTTTAGAAAAACCATGTGTGAAAAGGGTTGTTCAATTAATAACACACTTGGAGATGTTAATATCAAATGATTTTTATAAGCTAATAAATACGACCCCCAGTGGTTGTACACTGGAAGTAACACAGGAATCTGTAAGTCAGTAACCATCTCTCATCCTTGACTTATTCCAAAATGAATCTTATGCTTGCTGTAAATTTGAACTCCTCCTATCCAGCTGCTAAACAGCCAGATATTTCCCTCAGGAGTTGGTAGAGACCTAAAACAGAGCTAAAAGAGGGGGAATATTGGATTTACATTTGTGAAGTGGCCAGAAACAGGACTTTATGTGTAAAGTGGCAACTTTTTGCTGACACACATGTGCCATATCAACCTTTATAAGATGATAATATGTCAATGTTATGTTTACAGCTTGCTCTACTGCCCCAAAGTGGCCACAACAGTCAACTCCTACAGCGTAAACTAAAGGAGAATGTCACATATTTCTATAAGATATTAATATGCAGAATATATTCCACAGGATTCTGCTTTCCTTTGCCTCTAAATTAAAAATTTCCCTAAACCACTTCATCCAAGACGACATCAACACCTACTATTTGGTAAACGGAGTGCTACAGAAAACCTATGCTGTTGAAAACAACCCCGATGTGCTCAACTACACTGTGACTGACAGAGAGAGGGGGATGTCAGCAGCTAAGCTCTTCAGTCAGGCGCTGTGGAAGGTTTGTATTCATTACACACATTATTATTTTCCTACACATTCGTATTGTTTTATTGCACAAGGATATAGACATCGTCTTGTAAGTACTGCGATCTGTGCGCAGGTGAGGGATGACCTCAAGATCATCGGCTGCAGTGCCATGCTGGATAAATACGACTCCTACACGGTGAAGGTAGTGATTCACTTATTAACAGATGTCACACAGGCCATAGTTTGAATTTGATTGAAATGTTTTCGCTATATGAATGTAACATCTTGCATTTGGTTGCTGACAGGAATATCTGGTGAAGGAGGGCAACCTGAGTCGTGGCGCCTTGAGGATGATCGGGGACCTCCTGAATGAAAACAGCCTCTTCTACACGTCACTGATAGAGATGCTGTACATACAGTCAGACATCAACGACAACACTGAGTAAGAAATGTTCAGTTTTATTATGAGTCTAAGTTTGGCTTAGCAGTGGTTGTCAGAGATAGAGCATCTCTGGAGGTAGAAATAATTCAAATTCAATTTTGTTTTTTGCTTAAAACCCTTCTCAACAATATGAACATACATATCACGCATTGATTTTATATATATAAGATAAAGTGCTTCTGTTTATAGCCTGTTTATTTACATTTTTGAGGTACTTCACTTGAGTATTTCAACCTTATACATCACTACAGTGCATTGTATATTTTACTCCACTACTTTGATTTGACAGTTGCAGTTACTAGTTACTTTGACGATTCAGAACTTCCATAAAAATCATGTGATTTAACTTAAGAAATTATGTTGCAATATTACTAATTAAATTACCCAACGATATGAGCAACTACAACATTGAAATGTTGCTTTAAAGGAGCTATTTGTAAGTTTTACTATTGCTACATAGCTAACGTTAGCATCAACAGCTGTTTTCTTGTTCTGCTTCTATTTCTGTCACTTCTTTTCTTGTACTGATCTTAGCGTGCTAACTAGCTACCCCCGGCCCCGTCCGACTGTCTCGTCACTTTCTGATATCGTGTCACTGTAGCGTTGAATTCAGGGGTGTAGTATAACCTCTTGTCTTGGAAACACAACGATGACTGAAGCTCTTGCCAAGACTAGTAAGTAAACAGCTGTCAATGCTAATGCTGGCTATGTAGCAACAGCAAAACTTAGCTCCTTTAAACATGCATTCCCTTTTCATACTTAAACCTGCTATAATAGAGGTTAATATATCAAATTATTTGCTTGCTTACTGACTGACTGAGTGATCATAACTCCACCATTGGTCAGTCGAATGCAACGTGACTGAGTTGGAGTTTCCCCATTGGCTGTCGCTCTTTCAAAATGAATTAGCGCAAACGCTTTCTATCAGGGGCCGTTTACAGCCTGCGGTATTGCTAATATAGCACATTTGAAGCAAACCAAACTGAGGCCACCTGTCAAGGAGGTCTCAGATTGGCTCGCTAAGACCACCACTCAATGTGTGCTTCAAGCCCACGTAGGAGTTCCCTTTACCTGTGCAATTTGAATACAAAGTGCTCCAGGTTTGCTTCGCCTTTTGCCACTGGGACACTCAAAAATAAAACACATAACCAGCTGACACTGGACAGAATGCAGATACCCTACAGGTTTTGACCTAGTCTTGTTTTTTCCAGGTACTTTGAAGTGACAGACGGCTTTGACCACCTCCCCAGGGCTTTCTACCAGGTGCTAAACGCCACCATCCTTCTCAACTCCAAGGTGAAGCTGATCAACCAAACAGGCAGCAACAATGTAACCGTAACATACCAGGACTGGCACAATTCAGGAACCCTGACCAACCTAACGGTGGACTACGCACTGGTTACAGCCACGGCCAAAGCCACCCTCTTCATCAACTTCCAGCCCCCTCTCTCCGGGAACAAGATGGAGGCGCTGCGCTCGGTTCATTACGCCAGCTCCACCAAGGTGGTGCTCAGCTTCAAGGAGCGCTTCTGGGAGAAAGAGGGCATCAGAGGAGGGAAGAGCATCACTGACCGCCCCTCTCGCTTCATCTACTACCCCAGCCACAGCTTCCCTGGTACGGCTGCAGGGGCCCTCCTGGCGTCTTACACCTGCTCTGACGACTCCACCCTCTTCCAAGGGATGAGCGAGGAGGAGCTGATGGCTGTGGTCCTGGAGGACTTAATCCAGATCCACGGAGAGGTGATAAGGGATCTGTGTACAGGGGGGATGGTGAAGAAGTGGGGTTTGGATCCCTACAGTCTGGGAGCCTTCGCCCTGTTCACGCCATACCAGGGACACTATGCCCAAGAGCTGTTCCAGAGGGAGGGGCTGGTCTACTTTGCAGGGGAACACACAGCCACACCTCATGGGTGGATTGAAACTGCCATGAAGTCTGCACTGAGGGCAGCTAAAAATATTAACAGCCTGACACTGTAGTCCTGTAAAATATATATATATTTAAATATGTTCCAACATGTTCAGTCTTATAGGATTTGTCTGACACATTGTTTAGCTGTATATCTGGTGTCCGGTCTGTCAGTGTCAACCCACTTATGTCATATTTATTGATCCAGGTATTTAGGTATGACTATTGGCAGCCCCCAACTGACATTTTGATCAGATAAGCATTAATGCAAAAGTAATTATTAGCCCCATGCAGGGTTTTACTTTGATATTTTAGAGGATATTCAATGATTTTCTGCCAGAATAAAACAACAATTAGAGCTGCGAGTAACAAACACTAATTTTCAGAACCTTCTCAGTGAAACAATCTTTGTTTTTGGTTTATAATAGTGAAAAAAGAATAACATAATTTTCCAGAACCTAAGGTGATGTATAAAAGCTGCTGTTCACAACCTCAATATATTCAGTTTACTATCATTTAAAACAAAGAAAAGTAGTAAATCTTTGCATTTGAGAAGCTGGACCAGCAAATGTTTGTTCATTTTTTTACTGCAAAGTGACTCATAAGTTTTCAAAATAGTTGCTGATTAATTTTATGTTAATCAACCAATCGATTAACTGTCTCATCAGTTCAGATCTACACCAAATACATCAGCAGCATCACAAAATACTGGCTTTTGTTTTGATTGACCAAGATGAAATGAGTTACATCAAGGTTTATTCTGTCTGTTCCAACATTTCATGTCTTTCATTTCTGTCTTTTTTTACTTAGTGTCAGCTGCTTTATATTTCACTCACTTAAAATTTACTTTACGATTCAACAAGAAAATAAAATATTTGAATAAAAAACTTTCTTTAAAATGTGAGCTGTTTGGGAGTAGAACATCTTCCATTACAAAAGAGAAACAATGGAAATAGCCACTTAAAAAAACAAATATATTTTCAAGTGATGGAACCTGAATCTGTCAGACACACATCAGGCAAATGGGTGGCGCTTTTTGTTCAATGCTTTAAACTCCAAAAGTCACAACTGGGCATTGAATAAGTGTCGCCTGGAAACATTTCCGTTGTGTTATCAAATTGATGAATACATTTTCTGAATTTGTTGGTAATTTGTCTATTTGCAATGTGTTTTCTGAAGGTGCAGTGTGTTGAGCTCTCAGGGCCACCGTAGATTAGTACATGAAGGATCACAGATATGATGGCGAACACCAATGTACTGTGTCAGTTTACTAAATGTCATATTACATGATTTCTCACAAATAGGTACCTGCAACGACAAAGATACAGTTTCCCATTTTTAACTCATTTTGAACCCCCTATGCACCAGTCCACAGCATAAACAGTAAGTTAAAAAAAACAAAAAACATCTCTTCACATCATCTTCCATCCATATGTTAGAAATTCTAAACACTTTATTTATGTCATAAATCAGTCCTGTTGGCATCTGTAGTCCATTATTAATGACCGCCCTTCTGCACCATCTGTGTGAAGCGGTTGGTGATGGTCAGCGTGGTGTCGATGAATCGCTCCACACAGCTCACCAGACACGTCTCGGTCCTGTAGTCCAGCTTCGAGCCCGGACTATCCACACACTTGTCCCAGCAGATGTCAGTGAAATTGTGCACCTGGAATCAACACAGAAGATGATTAATTAATTAAGATGATTTATACAAATCTGGGATGAATGAATCATGATGCAGTTTGCAGAAAGAGTGTGGTTGTATTCGTTGCCATTTGTCTAACAGTGATCACTGACTGGACCTAAAGCCCGATTCTACCTGTTGTAATTTTGACATTTGAGGTTGAGTTGCAGTTTCAACTAGTCATTTTCATAATCAATTATTTCTTCATGAGCTTGTTGAAACACTGAAGAAGATAAATTATCATATAAGCTTCAGTAAAGTGCAACAAAGAACTGGATTTCCCTGTATGGATCCATATGCCAGATTGAGTATCACCACATCTGTCCAATCAGTGAGTTACTGTTTACATCTCTTGGTTTGTTATAATCAATGTGAAAATGAACCAGAAACAGAACTAAAGAAAGGCAACAATGCATATTTCCAACACAATAATGTGTACAGATAATCAGTAGACAATTTGATGTGACCTTAGCATATTATCAAGCTACATATGACAATATCAACAGAGCTTACTGTTGGTGTAGTGTAATAGTGTAGTCAATTAATTCAGCTCAGTTAAATAATAAAAATAAAAAATACAGTGTATTTTTAGCCAACGCATTATTTTAGTCAAGAGGCAAATAAACCCTAAACCTGTCAAATCTTCAGGGGAGTTTGGTTGAATTCTCCCCACAGGAGAGTGGCTCCTCACAGGTCTGACATAACACCGGGTTGTGGCCTCGCTCCAGGACTGGATACACGTTAGTTAACGGTTAGTTACAAACCTGGGCCTGGAACTGCGCTTTCTGCTGCTCCACGGCGATCATACGCTGCAGCTCGGTCGCTTCCGCCTTTTCCGACGCGCTGAAATTATCAAAACTGTCCATTGCGTCGAGAAGTCGTTACAGGAGAGGTCTGTATTCCTGACGGCAACGTGGTGAGGTGAGGTGAGGTGACCTTCGTTTCCACCGCGACTGAGCGCAGTAATACCGCTGATATACAAATCATAAACACTTCCTGTCTTCTTCTTCTTCGTCTTCTACTTCTTCTTCTACTTCTTCTTCTTCTTCTTCTTCGTCATCATCATTGGCGGATTGCAAACCAGCTTAAAAAGTGCTTACCGCCACCCAGTGTGTCGGAGTGCGCACTGACGAAAAGCTGCAGTGAGGTCAGGTTCCAGCAGCCTTCATACTCTGGACATGAAGTCACATAAACACACACTCGTTCCTTTATTTAGTTAGTTAGTTAGTTAGTTAGTTAGTTAGTTAGTTAGTTAGTTAGTTAGTTAGTTAGTTAGTTAAATTTAGTGAAATAAAGTCATAATTTTATGAAAATAAAGTCGTCATTTTGAGAATAAAATCAAAATATATCAAGAAAAAAAAGTCATTATAAGAATAAAATCAAAATTCTATGTTTTATGTTTTTGTGTGCGTGGTAAAACTGCCAAAGCTTAACCTTCAACAGCCCTTTGACGTTGCCTGGACCAGCCAGTATGACTCACAATAATAAAACCACACTTAATAGTTGTCCAACCGAAATTGTCCTCAAGATCATAGAAAGACATGAACAAAGTATACGTCGTATATCCACTAAGAAAGCTCCAGAGTTTCTGTATTACCACTTTAAAATGTGACACTACTTGCAATTCAATTTGTTTTTCTACAAAACGGGTCAGGAGATCTGACATTAAACTCAACAAACATGTGTCGCAATGTCCCGCCCACAGCAGCGTCTGATTGCTTATACATCAGGACTAAGAGACTATGAGCTGAAGGTTGCTTTGCACACAGACAGGGAAAGACTAGAGCAGCTCCAGTTAGCGAGTGAAGCTGTGCCTTAAGTTAGATAGGAGACATTACTGAAGATGTAATAAACATCACAATCCTCTATACTCAAGTCACAACAACACCACACCGAGCGAGCGAGAGAGAGAAGCTAGTGCTAACTGCTAAGCTAAAGTGACTAGCAGATCTGAACAGCATGTAAACAACTGCTGAGTTAGTGAAGGTCGCAGAAAGGTAGCAGGGAGTGTTGAGTGCTGGAGCAGAACAAGTGTAAGATTAAATGTCAATGCTATTGCATTGCAGGCACATAATTAATGGTCTGATATTTAGACTGTGGGGGTTTCATATCTGCACAGGTGTTATGTTAAGTGTTTGTCACGCTTACTTCAAGAATTAAACAAGTAATGTTTATATTGTACACTAGAGCTATCATAGATTGTCTGTAGTCTATGAGGAACTGTCTGTTATATGGCATGACCTTATTCAACCTTTCTGACTGATAAGACACAACCAGCATGCAATGTGTTGGTTCACCTCAGCTCAAAGGAGTCATGTTATTTGTAAATCGGTGCGTTTAATGTGACGCAAAACGTGACGTAAACAAAGATATTCCACAACTCAAAAGAGAGTTGACTCAAAAGATTTAAAAACATTAGATTAGATTAGATTTGATTAGATTAACTTTATTAATCCCACAACTGGGAAATTAATTTACCACAGCAGAAAAATAAACATCTATAGAATAAACATCTATGGAAATATACATCAAAAATACACCAAATATACACTAATAAATACAATATACACAATACACACGATATGTACATGAAAAAGTGCAAGTTTACTCTCATAAATTATCCAGAGCTGGCATTCTAACATAATAATAATAATGATATTATTATCTTGTCCCCCCTGGTTTGTTTATACACAGAAATAAATGCTTGCTTACTTGCTGCACACTTGTTATATCTGATTCATTCAAATTCATTGAAAAAAACAGACACTTTGAAGTTTAGTTTATATCAATGATGAAGAATATTTTTTGAATTTAGATGCTAATAAATTGATGCTCAATGATAAACAAGAAATATGGTTAAAAAACAAATACGACAAAATTCTAACACAACTCATAATTAAAACCTACGTCCAAAATTGCACACAAACAGTAGGAATATATTATGTATATATTTATACACGTATATATATATATATAATATATATTTATATATTATATGTAAAATCTATGACAAACTTTTTATCCCACCCTTTTACTTCACCATTCGTTTCAACAGGCAAGCCGTTAACACTGTGAGTTGCTCTTCTTGCCGAACATCCAACATCTTTGTGCCGCTGACGACATCAACAACTACATCCGGGTAACTGTGGTGACCTTGGTTGGACGATCATCATGGCGGCTATCGTCAGGTTGAGTTCTGTGTGCCGCAGAGGAGTTAAACGTAAGTACTCCTGCCTGTTCTCAGTGTTTTACTGTTTTTGAATATATCTACTTGTTTTAAAGTAGCAGGCTGATAGCGGCACATTTTGACAGAAGGGACGTCGAATATTAGCTGTGTACGAACAAGTCACGTCCGGCAGAGGCTAATTTCAAGTTCACGACTCAAGTTAAGCACGACTATACTTTCATTATTACAGCGCACCATCACTGGTTAACGTTAGTTAGTGGCTAGTAAACTACGCTTCTCAGACGTTTGAATAGTGATGCGCATTGATACTTGCTGTCGTCATGACATCGGACTGCCCGACTGTGACGCTATAGCACGTATGCAAAATGCGGAAGTTATATACATACAAATACATTGAGAAATGTGTGTTTGACTGTGGGAATCAACTGATTCTATCTATGTGGCAACCAGTTCGTTTAAACACCCTGGCTTTCTTTTTTCTTTTTTGGGGGCTGTTGTTTGTTTGATTTTACAATGAAAAGTTGCAGCATTTTAATGTCCAGCTATACATTTAAAAAAATGTTTTAGTATTTTGCAGTATAGTCAGAATGCTAACTTACAAATGAAGAATAACACAACACATCATACATAACAACAGTAGCCACAGTCACATATAAATTAAGTGCAAGGTAGGGTATCTCTATTAAGAACAAAATTATATATACATATTACAGTACCTTTTGTGAGAAAAAAGGGAAACGAAATACACAGCATGGTGCTTTACATTGAAACTATACATTTTTTTAAAAGGTAAAAAAACAGTTTGCAGTTCAGCTTAAATGAAAACATCAGATATTAACCATTTACCCTATTTTTAAAGCCATATTTGCACCCAAAATAAAAAGTAATAGTTTTAATCCTGTGGGACCTAAATCCTATTTGCTGTTGCTACTATAGACAATGGTAGACACATAGAAATAAATTATGGAGGAAAAGCTAACTGTGTATGTCATGTTGATAGATAATGTCAGGCATAGAATGAAGAAGGATATGTTGCAATGTAAATGTTTGATTTCTGTGTTGTGTTGAGACACGTTAAAAATGACATCCTTACGACATTATATGTATCTATTGTAATACATTGGAAGATAGTCTTACGGGTTCATGTGTGGGCCACAGTAATTCTGGGTAAACTGTGGTTGAATTTCATAATTTGTGCACTTTTGGAAATGTCGCCTTTTGTCTTTTTCTCTTCAGCTCTGTGGTACCAAAGCACTTTGTTGTCCAGACCGCTGGTTGTACCTCACAAAAACCAGGAGCAGCCCTACCTGCTGACAGCAAGGATTCATGCATCACAGGCTCTGTACGGTCAGTGTTGACAAGGGGAAGTAGAAGGTAGAACATACAGTACACACTGGGAGTAACAACAGAGAACAACAGGACAGCCTCATAGTTAGTGCTGCAATAATCAGTTGACTGACAGAAAATCCATCTGGAACTATTTGTCTTTGAGGGTTGGACTGTTGGTCAAATGAAGACATTAACGACCACACCTTTGGCTCTAGGAAACTGTGATTGGCTTTTTCACTGCTTTGTTTTCTTTGGAATGACAATTAATTGATTGATCCTGAAAAGAGTCGGCAGATACAGATAAATCATAATGAATAAAATCAGTTGCAGTCCTACCTACACTTTACTACTACATATATGTCAGTACAGCATGTTGTGAATGAGACATCATTAAACCAAATAATCAGTTAGTGTAATGCCTGTGATGGCGATTGTTGAAATGATCAAAGTCCATTAGACTGCTCTGGTTTGAACAGGTAAGGCTGTGTGATAGAAACTTTCTAGTTTAGTTTTTTCCAGTGTGGTGCATCATGTGGTTTAGCTGCTTCTTGTAGAATGACGTGTGTGTAACCAGAGAGCACAGTTTTTTTCGGTTCGACATTTGCAGATGGCTGACAGCCCCGGTGGTGGACCACTGGTGTTGTGTAGCCCAGATATAGCGCCCAAAATACCTAGGGTGGTGGCAGTATTTTGACACCAGCTTTATGTCAGGGTGAAGCCTAATGCTGGCAGATTTCATTTACTGTGACCCACCTACCATTTAGGTTAGTAAGTCATTTACAGTGATGGGAGGGTGGAGGCTTTCTCTGGAAGGCCGGATGTGTCTGTCAGATGTGGAAAGTTGACTGAGGTTAGCTTAAACTTGTTTACTGATTCTCAATAGAGAATAGAGATTTTTTAACTTTTATGTCTTAATTTACACACACAGTGACAAGAAAAGTATGTGCTCCCTTTGGAATTAAAATGATTTTCTGTATTAACTACATCATAAGTACAGACAAATGCAACGTTCTTAAGCTCATAAGACACAAACAACTATAATTTTTTGTGTCTTTATCGAACACAACCACGAAACATTCACAGTGCTGCTGGGAAAAAGTAAGTGAACCCTTGGATTTAACAACTGATTGAACCTCCTTTGGCAACAATAACCTGAAACCAGCTCTTTGAGTAGCTGCTGATCAGTGTTCAGGACGAAGTCTGGACCAGTCTTCCTCATAGAGCTGCTTCAGCTCAGACAGATTCTCAGGATGTCTGTGTAGCATCTCTACTGGATTCAGGTCTGGGCTCTGACTGGACTACTCCAGAAGGGGGATTTTCTTCTCCTGAGCTTCAGCAGGCGGACACCCTGACATCACCCTGGAGGAGACCTTGATAAGCAAAGCCCCAGATCATGACGCTCCCTCCACCCTGCTTCACCTCTGGGCTGATGTTTTCATGTTGGTCTACGGAGACCTTTTTTACTCCACACGTTAGAGCTGCATGTTCTTCCCAGACAATTCAACCTCAGTTTCTTCAGTCCAGAAAACATGTTTCCAGTCGTGTCAAGCTTCTCTTTGACAGACCTCAGGTGCAGTGATGTTTTTATTTGGAGAGCAGCAGCTTCCTCCATCGTGTCCATTAATTTGCGAATGAACAGAGATGTTAACCAGCTCCAATGATTCCTTTAAGCCTTTAGCTGTTACTGTCACAGACTGTTTGTCTGACTGTTGACTGAGGAAGCTCCAAACTCCTGAGATGACTTTAATTAACAATTCTTGATTCTAAGTGTCCTGAGATCTTTCTTGTGAGGCCTGGTTCACATCAGCAGATTTCTCTTGTGAATAAGAAGAAACTCAAAATGTCAAAGTGTCTCTAACCCAAAACCTCCAATCTGGGTTCATTGACCGGACTGGTCCGATAACTGCTGACACCAGTTAGCTTCTTTTGTTCCAGCCTAAACTGTGAATGTTTGAATGATGTTTTCAATACGAACAAGAACAACACAATAACTTGTGTTATTAGTTAAAATAGATTTGTGTTTGTTCATAACTGTAATTTAGACAAAGATCTGAACATATTTTATGACAAATTTATACATAAATTCAGCTAAATCCAAAGGGTTCACTTACCTCTTCTTGCCACTGTAATAAATTGTGTATATACTGCAGTGTATATATGTCAGTAATACCACAATGCACTGTTGTTTGTCGGTCACGTCTGTCAAGCTTAAGTTTAGATAAATATATATCTGCAAGTGCAGAATGATGTCACCACCAGAAGAAGATAAACTGTAATAAAGTCAAAGTACAAACTGTGAGTGATAATATATTGCAGAGATACGTTCATTTGCTTCCTTGTTGAACTTCAGGTTATACTCATGTGTCTGTCCATCAAATACCTGGTCCAGCACATAACCTAAACACCACCGTGTTGTTTTGCTCCTGTGCTTTTGAATGACTTAAACAAACAGGATGTAACATACTAGTAAGGTATTCAGATGTTTTGGTGTGAAGCCACTTCAGGAAACCAACTAAAGGTTGATGAGAGGCTGAGGTCGGACCTGGTTTGATTTGTCTGACACGCTACAGAAAAGATTTGCTGCCGGTCCAAAATACCAGAAAGAGACAAAAAACATTACAGCGACGATAATTGATCACAAAACATATTAGTAAGTGAGCTTCAGAGGTGCTGGCAGGTGGACTAAGTTACCTTTGAGAGCCAGAAAGACATAAAACCACTACAAACAACAGATGAGTCAATTTCCAGTTAAAAATGATGCAGCTGGTTGGGACCGTTATCTGTCCATGGTGGGCAGTAGTTTCACATTCTCTCTCCCAGGTAAAGGGAACCAGGCTCCAGTCACATTAAATATCCAGCTTGTCGTCTGGCCCTGCTGACAGTCTGCTGTGTCTCTTGCTCTACAGCGGGATCTGGCTCCAAAGCCGCCTCTCTGCACTGGACGGCCGAGCGAGTGCTGAGCATCCTGCTGCTGGCCATGGGACCCGTAGCCTACTTTAACCCCAGTCCTGTCATGGACTATTCCTTGGCTGCTGCCCTGACACTGCATGGCCACTGGTAAGACGAGCCGGCGCCAACCTGAGCCGCGCTTTCTTCATTTCTGAAGACAATAGTCTTGGATATACACACATACAAAGTTCTCACATTCATGCATGCAATGTTATTTTTATGACGTTAAACAATCTACATTTCCAGGTTTCAAATTACGTAGTTTCACTTCCTTTGATTGGTTTGTGGTCAGGATAGTCAATGTGAGAGTTACTGTTCTTGTGTGGACCTCTACATTCAGCCAGGGGCCAGCGTACTCTGAAAGTTATTAAATATATAAATCTGACCGTCTTGAAAGATATAATGTTCAATTTTAGTTGAAACTGTTTTAGAGAGGTGTTGGTTCAACTTCAGGGTCCTTCTGGGAGCTGAGAGTTGTTTCCAATTAGAACTGGGTTAAATAATCCGATATCGATTCATAAAACCCGAGATCAATCTTTTAACAGACGTCTTTTAAACTCTCCTGTGGACGTGTGAAACTGTCTGAGGTCTTTTTAAGCGCTTGAAGATCTGAACATCACCAAAGTGGATGTCAAGCAAGAGAGCTGATGAAAACAAATGAAATGGTGAATGTTGTCATATTGACATTTAAGGTGTATTGATTGATTTCCAATCTTTTATCATGCAAAGATGCCGGGAGCCCCTGAGCTGCTCAGTGAATTAAAGGGTTAATTAGTAAATGTGAAAAGACAGAAAACATCCTTTCATTCATCATTCAATCTTCTGACAAGTTCCTTTATCTGTGATGCTTTTACACAGAAACATGACGGAGTCGGTCCGTTACGCTTGTGCTGCTGGAAATAAAAGCTAGCTTAGCTACGTTTTCATAGCCTAGCCTGTTAGCCTAGCCTGTTAGCTTAGCTTGAGCTCTGCCTGTCCCGCAGCTTCTGGATGTTTCCAGAGCGGCTTCATTTCCTCAAGTCAGTAAATGAATGTAAACTGGGAATTGAATCAGAGGCAAAACTCAGCTCTATTTCCAATATTATTTGGTCCAACATGCTTGTTTCATTTAGCGAAAAGAGAATAGTAGAAACACTAAATTCGACGGTAAAACAAACTGGAATGATCAGTAAATGTGAGCGACACACAGACTTGACCTATCCTGGGAAAATGCAAACATGGAGGGAGGTAAATTCCTTCATCACATGAGGTCCTCAGGGACTTGTAGTCCAGTGCGAATGGCTTAATTTGACTTGACCTCACCTCTGTGGTCGTAACACCAAAAGGTTGTGATTTAACAGGGTATGAATGAAAGTTCTTTGAACCTTCCACAAACGTATTTCCCAAACGTCTCTACCCAGCACAGAGATTTAGCTTGTTCACTGACCTTCACCAGACACGAGGCAAACTTTGTGCCACAGGTTTTTGGTGGTGGGAGGTTCGTGGGTGGGTGGGTGGGTGGGGTGGGGGTTCAGCCATCTCGCCGTAGCTGTCAGCAGCTGTTAATTCAGCCTTGGTGAGCTTCGGCTCTGTTTGCAGACTTGAGAAGGCGGCTTCAGCTTAGCGTCACAGCAATGTGCTCCTCCATCAGTTAGAGCGCAGACTAAACGGCGTGGCAGGTGTGGGCCGCAGATCAGGCCAGTCGTGACTAATGATAAGTCTTCTTAAGCGACGTCTTTCGGGGCAGCTGGGTATCTCCGAGCCACGCCCTCTTTGACCACAACCCAGTCGGACGAACGCTGCAGTGTCATCTGGCGTCGTCAGCACCGTGGGTCCAAACATGAAAAGGTTGGAGAGCTTCCTCTGCTCAGCCGGTCCGGGGGATAAGCAGAGTCTGTGGCTAATAGGATTTTATAACGCTGAGGAATGTTGGAACGGAAGAACAACCCGGTGAACACGGCTTCAATAAGACATGACAATGTTTGGAATTAGGCCGGAAGAGGAGGCAAAATGAGTGGTTTAGCTAGTTTAAATAGTAATAGTAATGACAGCTAACAACATTAATAATTATCATTATTAATTAGAGTAACTTTTAGCAGGTGTAGCAGCAGAAGTTAAACAGGATCATGGCAGTAGGTGGTTTGCAGTTGCAGGTGCAGACTCTACAGCTGCAGCTCTGTAGCCAATTAAAAGCTGAATTATACAGGTATGATTTCAGTCGTCGTTTAAAAAGGTTTCTAATAGATACAGGGAGCCGATGTAGAGAGGCCAGTACAGGAGTAATCTGCTCTCTCCTTCTCGTTGTTGTTGACAGTCGAGCAGCAGATTCTGAATTAGCTGAAGTCTCCCAATCGACTTTTTCAGAGGAGCAGGAAAAAGAGAACGAGCTTCTCGGCATCTTGGTTACCTTGCTCATGTGGGAGTTGAAACTTAAATCAGAGTTTTAAAATGACACCCAGGCTTGTTATTTCCGTTTTATTCTTCCGATAAAGTTGGACTCGCCAAAGTAATCGCTGTGGTCTTGGTCATGCGGCTAAAAAGAGGTGATGAAGCAAATCAGACAGGGAGGTTGTAAAGAAAACTGTCACCATTAACGTTCTGTACCTAATGCAGATTTGAGCTCTCAAGGATTTTTTTTTTTCCAGGTATTTAATATCTGATAACTGCGCTTCAAAAATCAGTTTCTCTCTTTGCTCATCGTCTCTGTGTTTGCGTGTGTTTTTGTGTGGTAGGGGTATCGGGCAGGTGTTAACAGACTACGTTCACGGCGACGCAAAGGTCAAGATGGCCAACGCCGGTCTCTTCCTCCTGTCCACGGTCACCTTCGCCGGCCTTTGCTACTTCAACTACAATGACGTCGGCATCTGCAAAGCCATCGCCCTGCTCTGGAGCAAATGAGTATGACTGTGGACTGGGGAAGCTTTGGGACGACCTGGACACTGGGACGGGAACAATCTGGTCCTGGCTGATTGTAAAAAATTCAAGGTGTTCTATGTATATTCTTATAAATATATCATGTTGACAATTTTGACAGTGATTCACATGTGTGTAATTGCAAATTTAATGTCTATCAGTTCAGGCTTGGTCTTTGTATTAAGTTCTTGCTCATGATGATTGGGGACCTGGCAACCATTGTCTTTAACTACATGTGGGAGATTAGCTTCTGTTTACGTTCAGTGTGGACTAAATTTAAGCAGCATTCCCCTGTGTACTTTGAAACTTAAGCAACAAGAGTTATTAAATATGTCACTACCAATTCTACAAATAACAGATATCCAGTATCCTGATTTGTAACTGTTAAATTTACCGGGGACATGCATGTTTTCAGCAAAATGGCTTCTGATTTTCTTTGAGGTCTTACAGGATAGTAAGGTTATTTTTTCATGTTCAGGTCCTGTTTGTGGCTGATTTCTTAAATGTGTTTTGTTTCAATCACAATGTAAACATATACAGTACTACCTTTTTGCTCTTTAACCCATCAGGATTAACAGGGCAGCACTACATATATGAACAGTTCACACCCTCCACACTCACACCCCCCCACCCACCCACCCACCCTGTTCACAAAGGTCCGCCTCATGTGTCTTTTGTTGCTACGACCTCGTCACGACACTCGGCTCGAGTGTCCTCCTGCAACTTGACCTCACACCTCAGTCAGGTGTGCAGTGTTGTGGTTGTGGTTTGTGCAGAGAGGAGCCGGGCTGGGAGAAGAGCAGACTGAATTTTTTTTTTTTTGTGCTCGTTTTAGCTCGTTTTTTAATCCTGGATATCTGTTCTGCTGCTCTATTGATGGTTCATTGAAGGTAAGGGAGGCTAGATCTGAAGTGCATCATAAAGTCAAGCCATCCGGCGACACTCAGCCGACCTGTGCATCTCCAGCAGAGCGGCGTTCAAACGCTTGTCAGCTAACGTTGTATAAATCTACAGCAGGGTCTGAAATTAACAGCTGCACAATGCCGTCCTCTGCCAGGAAAACATCACTCAAGTCAGTGACAGTGATATGAATGCCTCTGTAACACTGAGTTGTGTTGTACTTCTTGTATGAATTACAAACTCCTTCCACTGTGTAAGTTGGCAAACTTCAAATGAAAAACAATGACACATTCTGAAAATATTAAACGTACATTTATTTTGACCATTTGAAAAATCTTTGCCAGTTTTTCTTAAGTTTACAAAGTAAAAAGTTCAATGTGATCAGACTCAATAAGGCAGGCTAATAAAACCTTGATGTTATCGTGTGAACATTTACTCAGAGCATATAATAATTGGTGGTTGTTGCATGCAGCCGTCAGGTTACAGGTTTATCACTGTTATATCTGAGCTCTGGAGTCAGTCTGTTGTCACAATGCTCACTCAGTAAAAGTTAATGAGAGCTTAACTTATGCTTGGTGTTGGTATGTTTTCTTATTACATCAACTGTCAATTTGTAATATCTGTTCAATTAACATCATTGCAGATTATACACACAAAATAAGATATATAAAAATAGCTATTATTCAAATACATTATGGAGTATATGGTCATGTATTGAGAATTCATTTAAATGTGTAATGAAGCTATAAAAACAATTTTATAAAACAGATACATATATATATATGAAAACACAACAATTTCATTTATGAATACCCCTCTTTGTTTCAGAAAAGATGAAGATGAATGTGGTTAATTAACACAGCTTGTGTAAAAAACTAGTATGTTTTCTGTTTTAAAGGCAGAAATGAAAACGAACACCAAGGAGAAAATGCATCAAGGTGCGCCTCCTTATTTCTAATTCAGTCCATTAAATCAGGATTTCACTGGTTTTTCAAACCCCAACGGGTTCAATATTAGATAAATCAATAAGTTATTATGGATATAAAAAAGTGCCATTGGGAAAAATGTCACAATAAAATAAAAAGAAAAAGCTTTTTTGAAATAAAAATGTCTATAATTAAATATTCTGGCCAATAAAACATTTGATAATGATTCATATATTTTACTCAAGTTATTCTTCATAATGTCATATTTAATATTGAACACCGGGTTTCTATATGCTTCCATAAGTTGTAATTAATTTAATTTAAATTACTACATGATACAATAAAGGATAATAATCTCTTCAAATCAAAACGATGGTTTACCTCACACACAAATACACAATAAAGTCTAATCCTGGCCGTGTTTTGTTTGTCTGGTACACAGTATACTGTACGTGTCCTCCTCCTGGTAAACCTAATAATTATACCTCCAGACCAAGTGAGCACTAATGTGTCAGTGTGGTACAGCAGGTTCTCCCTATAGCTATTTAATTTGCCTTTAATGAAACAAAGAGGATGATTTTGTCCTGATGACTTTCCAAAATCATTTACTCATATAAGTTAACCTCGCAAGAATCGTCCGGTTCATCGTAACCCTTAGAACGCAGGACCAGTTTGTTCAGATTGGGATCGTTGTCAAGAGGCTCAAATCCCAGGAATTTATTTTGGTACATGGTGGACTCAAACATATACCTGTCAGTTCCTTTGAGTTTGTTCATGATGAACAAGGCCTCGTGTTTATTTTCCTTGATTTCCTTTGGAAGATCCTGCTGGAAAAAGCTCAATTAATTGTCGGTTCCATTACACTGCTGCACAATGGGCAGGGTGCAGGCTAAAGACTGGAAAGTCTACGCAGTACATAATGGACGTCAAGATAAATGGTTTTCACAATGTATGAGTAATTTATTTACACATGCAGATAAAACTGGTGCAGCCTTTATTATCCCATAATTCATTGCATGTATATTACTTAAACATTCAGGAAATCTTTTTCCACTGTAATGTACAACCATGTCATATTTAAAGGTCCATCCAGTGTAAAGGTCTGTGTCCATGTGTAGTGTGATTATAGATCAGCTCTAGCTTCTATATTAATACTGTGAAAGTATCAAAGCCTCAGTCCACAGAGAAATGCACACAGCCTGTATTCAGAAACTGAACCACTCTGCAAATTACAGCTACCTACTACTGGTTGGGTATCGGTTTCACACACAGTAAAAGACTGTAAATAATGTGTTATTCTCACCATTTGCTTGGGACAAATTCCATTGTCCCCGTTGCAGCATGCCACCATCATCTTGCCATTTTTTTTGACATACAGCATGACTGCCCTCCCCCCGATCTCAGTGGAACTGTTGTTGTAAATATGGATGTTGAAAATGCAGTCTGTAAAAGAAACACAAGACGAGCATCACGTCACTGAATACTGAAGGATTATAGAACCGCAAAATGTGACAATGATTTAAATGGTTAAAAGAATACTGTCATGGCGTGGCCACTGTTGAAGAGTCTGACCTTTTGGGGCCTGGTTTAAAGTTTCTCTCCAGACATGTTTTAAACTATGTAACCATGATTATATTTTGTTTTCCCCCCCCACATAAAAAGTGAAAAAAATAATTCACCCCCGTCCGTAGAGGCTGGATTAACGTACAAAATTTGGCTTTTCTGGACTGTATGTTACCATTCTGACACTGCTGCTGCTCCCGAATGCTTAAGAATCTTGCTTGAAATTCTGTATCTCCATGTAACAGCAGGATTTTGTCGTCATTGCTTTGGAGTTTACGATTGAAACACATTTCGGAGTACAAGAAATTGTCCACTTCCAATTCTGCATTTTTGAGAGAAGAACATGTCACAACATCAGCAACATCATGCACTTTCAACCACTACTTATATATTCTTTTATAAATGGAGAAAAGCATAAAACTGAAGCAATACAAATTTGCCACAGAGGTTTTGCTTAGGACTGTATATTTAAAAAACAATATAAGAATTGTCTTACCTGTTTCATCCACTTTAAATAGAGAGCAATAAACAGCAGATTAGATTTTGGGATTTATATACCAGCGTTCAAAAAACAATAGGTATTACATTAAAATTATTTTTCTAAAAAACCACCATGTACAATATATTATACAATATAAAACAATTGGAATATCTAATTCACTTATTGAGAGTGAATAAAGTATGAAATCACTTACAACTGAGGATGAAGCTTTTCTCATGTGTATCAACAAATCTAACACAGGAGTAGCCACTGGTAGCCATAAGGTAGACCTGGTAAAAAAAAGAAAATTAAAATTAAAAAGGCTACTACCTCCTGTTCAGTGCCTTCGCCTTGTCCACATGTTCACTCAGATCGAAGCTGGCAGAGCAGCTTTAGGTTCATGTGTTTGCATTAAATATACTGTAGGTGCTTGACAAATTTACCACATTAGGCCAGGTGCAGATCAAAAACCACTGGTACCTGGAGGTAAGCGGAGGCTCAGAGGAGACAGAGCTTTTTCTGTTGCTGCTCCCACTTTGTGGAACGACTTACCTCTCCACATTAGACATAGACTGTCCATTTTTAAAACAAACCCATCTAAAAACCTACTTTTATTCCTTGGCTTTTGATCCAGCATGAGACGGCATTTGTTTTATTGCTTTTACTGTTTTTTATTTGCTATTTTATCGTTGTTTTTTACGTTTTTTATGTTTTTATGTTATTACAGTTGTGGTCAAACGTTTACATACACTTATAAAGAACATAATGTCATGGCTCTCTCGAGTTTCCCGTTATTTCTACAACTCTGATTTTTCTCTGATAGAGTGATTGGAACAGATACTTCTTTGTCACAAAAAACATTCATGAAGTTTGGTTCTTTTATGACTTTATTATGGGTTAACAGAAAAAGTGATCAAATCTGCTGGTTCAAAAATATACATGCAGCAGTGCTAATCCCTTGGCCATTTTCACTTCAATTAGGTGCGTTTGGTAGCCATCCACAAGCTTCTGGCAAGCTTCTCGTTGAATCTTTGACCACTCCTCTTGACAGAATTGGTGCAGTTCAGTTAAATTTGATGGCTTTCTGACATGGACTTGTTTCTTCAGCATTGTCCACATGTTCTCAATGGGATTTAAGTCAGGACTTTGGGAAGGCCATTCTAAAACCCTAATTCTAGCCTGATGTAGGCATGGTGTTCTTGGGGTTAAAGGCCTCACCTTTTCTCCTCCAAACATATTGCTGGGCATTGTGGCCAAACAGATCGATTTTTTGTCTGACCACAGAACTTCCCTCCAGAAGGTCTTATCTTTGTCCATGTGACCAGCAGCAAAATCAGATCAGCAGAAAAATCAGAGTTGTAGAAATAACTGGAAACTCAAGAGAGTCATGACATTATGTTCTTTACAAGTGTATGTAAACTTTTGACCATGACTTTATGTACAGCACTTTGTATCAGCTTTTTTTGTATTTAAAGTGCTCTATAAATAAAGTTGAGTTGAGTTGAGAGTTGAGTTCAAATAAAACTCCCTGGCAAGAATCTGATTTCAGCTGGACAGGAAATATCTCAGACCTCGTCTTCCTCAAGTCATCAAACATAGTGTAATTCTATCTGTATAGCAGTTCCAACTTGTATCCATGAACAGACTTTCTTTTCTTAATTTCATTTAGATTAATGGTGGTTCACATTAAAAAATTGGTAGATATGTGTATTTTCTTTCTGTTCTATAAAAGTTACATTTGTAAATGTTAATAACATTTTAGAAAGTATCTTTACTTTGTATTTTAAAGTAGAAAAAATACTCCACCTAAGCAATAACAACAGACTACATTAGATACAGGAAATGGGTGAAGTGTGACGCACTAAATCTGTGTTGTCAGTGTGTTTTTTTTAAAGGGAGCAGAAAGGATATAAAATTATAAATAGATGAAGAGGAGGGGCAAAGAAGAAAAGGGAGAAAGGAGGAGGAACATAACGAGTTTTGGTAAGGCAGGGAGAAACAACAGCAAAGACAAGTGAATGGGAAAAGCACAGAGAAGTGGGGAAGTGAAAAAAAAGAAATTAAAAGGCAAAGGGAAGTCAGTAGGGAAGCTAAGCATATGACTGTGAATGACAGTAAAACACAAGAATAGTTAAAAGAAGAGATAGAAAGAAGGAAAGAAAAAAACAAGGAAAGAAGTAAGGAAAGTAAGACAGACAGAAATGTGTAGGAGGGACAGACAGACAGACAGACAGACAGACAGACAGACAGACAGACAGACAGACAGACAGACAGACAGACAGACAGACGTAAGGAAACTGAGAAATGACAGAGCGAGATAGAAGGAATGAGCAAAGACACATCAGTAGTTAA